AAAAAAAAAAAAAAAGGCAAAGGATAAGACATCTGTTTCTACTGAGGCAGTCTTAGAACCTATTTCGGCATTTGGGAAGCCCCTAATCATTGTCTTTAAATTTAGTCCCAGAAGGTCCAAAACAGCAGACCACAGGACTCTTTTCTAAAATTTTAGAATCCCTTCAAAAAAGAAAAAAAAAAAAACTCCTAAGGAGTACTCATAAAGTGTCTTCTTATGATTCTCTAACCTCCAGGTTGGACCAGACTTAACCCAGACAAAAAGATGAGGATGTGCACACGTGTGTGTGTGTGTACGTGCGCGTGTGTGTATTATATGTAAATAAATATGTGATACAATAAGTATGTATATAAATATATTTGTTATATATGTAAATTTGTCAAAGCTAAAAGGATTCTACAATCTTGTTTACTAATGCAAAACATCATACTTCCAGAAGCACATCTTTAAGACTGTGCTGCTAAAATTTGAATTTGTTCTCTGAGCTCATTAGAGATGAAAAACAACTAGTCATCACTTACAATGTATCAACTAGTTCTGTGTCTGAAAATTTATTCTCTCTGTCTCAGACACACACGCACACACACACACACACACACACACACACCCTCCTTATACCTCAGCCTTATTTCTAGTCTAAATTAAAATTTTAATTTATTAGATACTATGGGGATTTTTTAGCTACCGACAGGAAATAGTATCTCCTTTTCCAGGGGATACCTGGGTTTCCCTAAAGTGGTGTTCATTTTTTTTCTTGGCTGTAAATATATGAAAGACTCTGTCAAGCGTGCCCTCAGGGCATGAAAGGAAAAGTGCAGTAAAGAGCACGTTTATGAGTTGGCAGCTTGAGTGACTGGCTTCTAAACAGGGACCCATCTGCTCTGGGGTTGCCTTATGATCCTGTCTCTTTTAGAGACCTTGTCTGCTAGGTGTCCTCACATGCAGTTAGCCTACAGGTGACGGAGGGCACCAGTGACCCAAGAAGTTCATCCAGGTCCTGCTCGATAAGATTCTGTGGAAAATTTCCCCAGTGTTTCATAAATTCTCAGGATTCCTTACTAGATTTGGACAGGCCTACTTAGTAATCATGTGACTCCAAAAGCAGTGACCATTTCCAACCCCAGCTTTGGAAATCAAACTGCTTCTCAAGTCTCTTGGTGTCCAGAAGGCAGGGCTCTCCTCTCATCTCTGAAGAATGTAGGAAGCCGGAGGTGGAGAGAAAGTTTGCAATCTTTTCATCTGTCGCTTCATTTTCTCATTTTCTGTTTACCCTCCCACGAGCAATGACCAAGTGTCCAAGACATGTCAGGAACTGGGATAAAGACTGGGGATACTGAGGTGAATGAGATGCAGCCTGATCCTCCAGGATCACACGCCAGTGAGGACAATGAGTCAACAAGCAGTTGCAATTCTGAGGGCTAAATGCGATCATGGGAGAACATCCACAACCCCTCCTGAAGGCCAGGGCAGGGAAAGGGTCAGTGATGGCCTTCCAGAAAAGGAGCTGCAGAGATTAATTTGAAGGCTAATTACGAGGCATTCAGCTACGGAGGGGCTGAGGCAGGGGCCAGGAGGTCGAAGGGGGGGCAGGGCGTGGCAGTGAGTGTTTCTGGTAGAGAGAAAAGCATCTTCAAAGGACCAGAGGCCCATGAGTCGGGAACAACCCCCCAACCCCCCCAGAATTCACCTGAAGTCCCGGATGGCTGGAACAGGATGCATGAGAGCCCCGTGGGAAGAAGGATGCACGAGAGCCCCCAGGGAAGAAGGAGGCAGAGGCCAGGTGGTGAGGGCTTGTAGCTGAGGCCCAGAGGAGAGAAGAGACTTCCTCAGCCCCCCGCTGGGGTCCCCTAGGTCTCCTCCCAATTCTGCATCTGAGGCTGTCCATTGCTCAACACTGCCTGTGTCATGAGCGACTTCTTAGCAGGGAGCGTCTTTAGCACTGGGATGGGGACAGTCTTCCTTGTTCAAGACTGTCCCACAGCTCACAGGCAGTTCAGCAGCTCCGGCCCCAATGCCAGTAGCACCCCTCAGCAGGATAGCTACATCAAGCCCCACATGCTCCCAAATGCTCCCTCTGAGAACCACTGCAGAGGGGAAGGGGATGCGGAGCCAGGCGCCTCCCTCAAGAATTTCTGCAGTGGGTCCCCAGGAGACAGGAAGTGATCACACGCGGAGATGGCTGGCCCTTACCATCCTCACTGGCAGAGGCTGCTGGGCTCTGTCCTTCCCACGAGGGAGAGAGCGGGCCGGGGATCAGAGCTTCGGGAAGGTGGCAACGTGATCTTCGGGAGAGAAGCAACATCTAGGAAGAGAACTCAGGAAGATCAGTCTGGCTGTCTCACTTGCTTGGGCTCTCGTGGCCCTTCCCACAGCCCCTCCCCACCAAGACTTTCTTTTTTTCGGTTTTGTTTTCCGAAGCAACATGGCATTCATGCAGGGCCTGGTGATGAAATGAGATAAAAAGCCAAAGCAAGCGTTTAGAGCGTTGCCGGGAGGGCTGATCCCCATTCTGGAAAGGCCGACTCAGCCGGAGAGGAGAAGCTGAAGCTGTCGATAACAGGATGCCCCCGGCTGGACCATGCAAGGGGGACAGGAGCTGGGGAGGGGATGAAACCGAGAGGTGGGTGTTCCAGGCTGGGGACAGGGACACACAGGGGCCTCTTTTATCCTATGTGGCAGGAGATAAAATCCACAGCCTGCCACACCGGTGCTTGGAAATTAATTCCTAAGTTGTAACACGCCCACCAGATCCGGGACAACGTGTGGGCTGGGGAAAACAGTATCAAAGCCCCAGGAGCTAAGAGATAGATTTCATTTCCCCTGCCGACTCCCCCGTGCCCCTTAAATGAGGTACATCCTTCTCGTGGGCAGCCCACCCGGGTACAAGAGGGTCTGGCCGGGCCCCCAGGTCCGGCCCCCTGCCCCGGTTGAGACGCAGAGGAAGGTGTGAGTCAGGACAGATGGCATCTCTCTGCTTGCTCCCGCAGGACTGTCCCCAGCTGGTGCCCACAGAGGAAATTCTGATACCAGTCGGAGAGGTAAAGCCAATCACTCTGAAGGCTCGAAACCTGCCCCAGCCCCAGTCGGGCCAGCGAGGCTACGAGTGCGTCCTCAGCATCCAGGGAGCAGTCCACCGCGTGCCCGCCCTGCGCTTCAACAGCTCCAGCGTCCAGTGCCAGAACAGCTCGGTAAGAGCGCTCACACTCACGCCCTGCCCACAGCACGGCTATCTCTCACACCTGTGCCCAGGTCTCAGCCTCACCTGCCCCAGTTCCCAGAACCCTCCGGGGCCACAGGCTGACCCCACATCCCCGGGGACAGAGGAGGGTGCCAGCACCCAGCACCCCTCAACCAGAGCAGAGGAGGTTGGTGGTGACAGAGGAGGCTGAGTGACTCGAGGAACCCCTGGCATCAGTTGAGAGCTTTGTGCTCTTCCTGAGTTCAAAGAGACCTCTTGGCCTTCGGTGAAATTGCAGTCAAAGCCAGTGGACTCCCCCGCAAACCGCCGTCGTCATTTAGGCATAAAGCAGAGGACGGCGGGCCAGGAGCTCAGCAGCAGTAGAATGGCGTGAGGGGAGGTGGCGGGGGGAAGGAGGGAGCAGTGAGTTCCAAGAGCAGCAAGGGTTAAACCAGTCCCACACGCCAGACAGAAAGCACAAGGTGTTTAATTATAATACTAGCCCAGAGAAGATCTTTTTATCTGCCAACGCCTGTCTCTGACTATGGGGGGTCAGCTGGAGATGGGGGGTGATGTGACAAAGGTGTTGAGGGAAGCTAATTCGCCTGGGAGAGATAAAGAGAATCTGGGCTTCTTATCAGGGGGCTGTCAGATTCCCAGGTCACAGGCGCTTGATAGAATTTGTAATCAGTGGAAGGCCGCCAAGCACAAGGCGAAGGTGGGATGAGAAAGAAATGCAACAGGACAAAGGGAAGAAGCGGGCGGGAAGGGCCAGGGGCAGGAGGGCGGACAGGGACGTGGCCTGCCCTGAGAGCTCAGTGGCCAGGGTGGGCCAGGTCTCTCGGGAGGGGATTCCCAGAGGCCTTCTTCACCGAGGGGCAGGGCAGGGGCTGGGCCACCAGACGGTCTATTTCTGAAGACCAGCATGGGAGAGAGAGTGGACTCCTGGCCACAGCTTGAGGCCTTTCATGGTCGGCCTGGTCAGATCTGTGCCCAGAAGCTCTGAGCTCTTTCCGTAATGGACTGTTGGCCAAAGTAAAGCTCACGTGCAGCCAGAGGACCCCTGCGGTGCCCAGCCCACCTGCCGCTGCAGCCCTGTTTGTTGTGCATATGTTCTGCTCAAGGCTCTGGTGGGGTTCGCACAGCAGGACGTGGACTTGCTAGAGAGACTGGACTTGTACGTGAAAAGATGCAGAGCAGCTCTCAGGAAGTGAGAGACAGAAACTGGCAATGCTGAGGGACAGGGAGCTTGAGGCTTGGGGGAGGGATGTCAGAGAAGACGCTCTGGGGAAGGTGAGTCTGAGCTGGACCAGAAGAACACAGGCAGCTTGAAGGGTGGAGGCCCTAGGGAGAGAGAGGCGTTCCTTAGGAGATGTGAGCTGAACGGAGGCAGAGAGGCGCTGGGGCGGGTGCGTCTGGAGACAGGTGGATTCAGAGCTTTCTGTAGGAGGGCAGTGGAAGAGAAGGTTGGAGAAGTGAGTTTGAATTTGGATTACGGGAGGCACTGAGCACCACACTAAGGGGTTTGGGCGGGATCCGCTTGGCATTAGTGACTGGGAGTCAGGGGGAGGGTGCCGTAGACATCACTCCAGCAGCAAATGGGGTTCCCCGGATTCTCCCTCTGCTCCTTTCTCAGCCCAGAGGTAGCCAGAGCCCCTGGTTTCTCTCCTGCTGTAGTCCTGGTCTTCCGAGATGCCTGCAGCATCCCTGACCCCCTGTGATAGGGAGCCTCACGAGCCATGCACCCCATGCCCCTCTCCCCACAGTACCAGTACGATGGGATGGACATCAGCAACCTGGCCGTGGACTTCGCCGTGGTGTGGAATGGCAATTTCATCATCGACAACCCACAGGACCTGAAAGGTGAGCAGCTACTTCCAGGTAGAGTTTTGATCTTTTTGTGACCCCAGGAAAGACTGGGGCTGAGGGATCAGAGCCGGCCAGCCGCTGTGCCATGAATAATACACTCCCTCTGTCAGCGGAACTCTTCAGAGGATCCTAAAGCAACATTTGGAGCCATCAAAGGAGTCCTGTTGGGAACCCTGTTTTATTACAAACAGAGCATCCGCCAGGCGGCTGCCGGCTCATCACGTTTTTCTTTGGCTCCCGAAGACTTTGAAGTATCTACAGAACCTGACCTAGGAAAGCAGCAAGCAGGAACGTCCTGCCAGTTTCCAGGGAAATAGAGATCTGTTTCCAATTAGGGTCTGATTCCCCTGTCCTTGGTCCCGTTGCTGCACAAAGAAGGTTTGTGAGGCTGCGCCCCTGGTTCTAGGGTCGGGATGGGGGACAGGCAGGAGGACGCAAGCCCACAACTGTTGCAGGGAAGCTCAGCAAGGAGCTGGGCTGACCCAGGAGGGACACTCCGTGAGGGCCACCCTCATTCATCGTCCTCCAAACTCACGAGCAGCTCCCCCCGCGCACCAGGTCAGCATCACCCTCCGCGCAGCAAGTATCAACACACCCCTCTGCTCTCCAGAGGGACAAAAGCAATTGCAATGTGACAGGTACTCGCTGTGGGTAGGCACTCCCTCGGTGATTTTCTGAGATTGTTTTCTTTAATCCTCATTACAACCCCGAGACGTGTGTACTAGTATTATTCTCATTTTATGGATAAGGAAACTGAGACCCAAAGAGTTTAAGAAACGGACCAGGAGTGCTCACTTCCCGCAGCACATATACAGAAATCCTAACAGTGCACAGATTAGCATTGGCCCCGACACAGGATGACTCGCAAATTCACGAGGCACTCCAGCCTTTAAAGACAAACATGTGGAATCTTAAAAAAAAAAAACAAAAGTCAAACTCATACAAACTGAGACTAGAAAAGTGGTTGCTAGGGGTTGGTTGTTAAAAAGGTGCAAACTTTCAGCTATAAGATGGATAAAGTCTGAGGACCTAGTGCAAAGCACAGTGTCTATAGTTGATAACACTGCACTGTGTAATTGAAATTTGCTAAAAGAGTACAACCTAAATATATATTTCTAATCACTATATATATATATATATATATAGTGATGGATATGTTAATTAGCTAAATGGGAAGAACCCTAGCACGATGTATATGTATATCCAATCATCACAGTATATACTTTAAATACCTTCTGATTTCTTTATGTCAATTATACCTCAATAAAGCTGAAAAAGGACAGGCAGAGAAAAAAAACCAGGCTGAATCAGAAAGTAAGAGCCAGGATCCGAACCAAGGATGTCCAATCTCAGAGCTCACGTGCTGGACCACACCACTGTCCTTCCAGCAGCTCGGGCCACTGTGGGACGACAAGCCTTCTGCCCTCCAGACGCCTCTCCTCACACCATGAGCCACATCTCACTACACTTGAAGTAGCTAGGGCTGCCCCAGCTTCTCCCTCAGCCTGAGGGTCACCCATGGGTGTAGACAGAGGACCAGAGCCACCAGAGGCCCCCACCCACACGCTGGCATGGAAATCAACACCACTTAGGCTTGGAGAGAGAAACTGAACCAGGGAGATTTCTGCTGTCTTTCTCCTTATACCCCGGCCCAATTTCCCCACTGCTGAGAGATAGACATCCTCCCTGCTGAGGATCTGGGCTTGGTTCCCAGAGGTGGCCTTTGCACCTGGAGCATAGAGGAAAACGGCCACATCCAGGCTGTCACATGAGAGCCCTCCCTGGTGGCGCTCAACATCTTGGAGTGCCCAGGTAGCACCATCTCCATGTTCGTGCCTCTGAGAGCCCATTTCTGGAGGCTGTGCACCGTGTTGGGTGGAGACGGCCACGGTACTTATGGACTTGGGTCCTAGAAACCAGGAAATCAGGGCTCAAATCCTGGCGCTTTCACTTATAGGTGGGGGAACTCAGACTACATACTGCCCCTGCCTTCATCCCAGTTTCCTTCCCTGGGAAATGCAGGAAGGGATGCTCTCCTTTTGGGGTCAGCATGAAGACCAAATGAGGTGTGCACCATTTGTGCATGTTAATAAATGCTCACTCTGTAATTGTTCGTCTTAAGATTCCCATTTCCTGCCCTCTACCAGCCGTAGGTATGAGGACGTTTAAATGTAGTCCCTGCAGCTGGGACTGAGGGACACTTGACGGAGCAGAGGAACAGGATGAGGACCCTATAGAGGAATAGAAATATGCCCCTCCCCTGAGGCCCATACCTGATCTCCAGCACAGGCACGCCCCTCCCCACCCCCCAGTCCTGAAAGCTCATGTCTGCTTGACCAGAAAAGTTGAAAATGACTCTCTGAGTATTCTACTTCTGGAGAATTCTACTCAGGATTCTGAATTCAAAACATCAATAGGCAACAACGAAGTCCCAGGCTCCCAAAACACAGTTCTGCAGCCTGGCGTGCCCCGGGCTTCTAAGTCAGTAAGAGACAAAGCAAAGGCCAAGGGTCTGCAAACTCCAAAAGTGACCTGTTAAGTAGCTAGGTTGCCCTCTGTGGGAATGTCACCCCCCACTGAAGGGGCCATGAACAGGACTGTGTCGACTCTCTCTCCTTCTCAGTTCTGCCCGCACTTTACCAGCCACCTGGCCTTTCTTGAAGCCAAGCTAACCTCTCTCCCAGACCACCCAGTCCCCAGTGTATGGGGGGCATGCCCCTCTCTTCTCAGGATCTACAGTCTAGCCGCACAGAGAGCTGGAATGGCACCATCCTAGCTTGCGGCACTAACCTTAGCAAGCTTCAAGAGTCATTATATATTGAGGTGTCTGGGTGGCTCAGTCAGTTAAGAGTCTGATTTTAGCTCAAGTCATGATCTTGGGGTCCTGGGATTGAGCCCGCTCAGTGGGGCGTCTGCTTGTCTCTCTCCCTTGGCCCCTTCCCCGTCTTGTGCTCTCTCTGTCTCTCTCAAATAAATAAATAAAAATCTTTAAGAAGAGTCATATGTACCTCTTTGAGCTTCATTTTTACCTGAAATGGGGAAATCAGTCCTTACCTGTTGTGATGAGGGCCCCATGTAGGAAAGACAGTGCAGAAGAATGTAGTGTGGCCTCAAAGAAAAGAGAATAAGCCTGTGTGGCCCATCGGGTATGTTACAGGCACTGTGCTAAGCACTTAAGACACAGCACCTCACTCAAACCTCCCACGAAACAACGATCATCCTCATGTCACAGATTAAGTAAACGAGGTTCAGGGAGGTGACATTCTGTCACATCGCTAAGGAAGTAGCGAGGCCACCATCAAAGCCCTGATATGACTCGCTCTAGAGCCAGAACCCTTAAATAACATTTTCTGTAGTACCTTTCGGCAACGAAGAGGCTCAATTTAGTATTTGTCCTCCATCAGTTATTCTTGCAAGGATGATGGCGATCATCGGTGTTACCCATGCCGGGGACGGTTTCCGCCATGCCTCCCAGAAGAGGCGCGGTCGGGAGGAGCCCTCTCCAATCCCGCTGTGTCGCCCCCTCTCTTTGCAGTCCATCTCTACAAGTGTGCAGCCCAGCGGGAGAGCTGCGGCCTCTGCCTGAAGGCCGACCGGAAGTTCGAGTGTGGCTGGTGCAGCGGCGAGCACAGGTGCACCCTCCAACAGCACTGCATCAGCCCCTCCAGCCCCTGGCTTGACTGGTCCAGCCACAACGTTAAGTGCTCCAACCCTCAGATCACCGAGGTGAGTCCCACAAGTTCCCAGAGCGGGGCAGGGTGGCCAGGAGCCGGCCCGGGCTGGGTGGGCAGCGGGAGAGGAGTTCACATGGAAGAATTCTTCTAAGTGTAGCGCACATTTAATGTGGGGTGTGGGAAGCCTCTCTCGGGCGTCTCGATGGCCCGCGTCCGGGCGTAAGTGACAAGCGCATGGATGTGTGTCCTCAGGCCGGTGTGTGAATGCACCTGCACGTCGGTGTGGGCGTGTGCACACAAGGGAGGTAGAGCCAGCCCAGCCTCCCCGCCAGGCCTGCAGAGCCAGGTGGGGACGGGAAATTGGCTGCGTGGTGGGTAAACATTTCAGAGAGCAGGTTTAGCTTTTCTCAGCAGAAATGTGATTTCAGGAGCCGCAATTAGCTCCGAGTTGCAAAGTTGAACGCGGAAGAAGAAAGTAAAGGCAGGCACTACATTGGCCACTGTGCCATTTCCCAAGATTTACTCTCTGTCCCAATTTGTTGGTGCATTTTAATGGAAAGAAATAGGTAATTAATTATCCTAGGAAAAAAAACGATGTTTCCTGAATAGCAAATTGCAAAGGCAGATGAATAGATGATGTGAATGAAAAAGCAGCTGCTCGGGTTTTGAATGGCCTGGGAGAGGAATAGTTGTATTTAACTTTGGTTGCATTACGTGTTCATCACTCTTCACGGCTTCCTATTCACCGGATGTCACTTGTGCTTTGAAACTAATTGCACGTTCCTTATGGTGACTGGGAATAAAGGTGTGGGCAGGTAGCACTGTGGTCTGCTCATTTAAGAAAGCAGTGAGGGGCTGCTCGTTTTCTGCCTCTTCCCTGAATGGATGCACTGCCCCTCTTCCTGGCTCATTTTCCTTTCTAGCCAAAGAAAGCACCTTTGGCTCTCACCTATGTCACAGAGTATTGAGAAGCTTCTGGAACATCCCTGCGATCATTCTGAAGCTTCAGATCCGTAGAAAGAAAACCCTCAAGATCAAATGAGTGTTGTTAACCTACAGGTGGGTTATTTGAAGAGGGAACTGATATTTATTCAGTGCGCTTGGCACCGTCTCGTTTAATCCCACATCCACCGTGGGAGGTAAATATTTTCACCCCCATTTTACAGATGAAGAAAGTGACGCTCAGAGGAGAGGCGTGGTTGCCCCAGTTCACACAGCTGATAAGTGGCAGACCTGGTATTTAAGCTCAGATTTATGGAATTAGAGAACTACTTGTAAAGTCTCTGATTGCTCAAGTAACGCAGCACAAGAAGCAGGGCTCCCCCTTCCTCGATGTCCAACCTTCCTAGCTAAGGTAGACCAGGAAGATGCCATCCATCCACGTGGCGGGGCATCCCCGGGGAAGCACAGCGCGGTGGGAGAGTGTCTCCTGCTAGCTAGGTTCTCATCATCCTGATGGGAAGATGCGGTGAGCGTGGAGACACTGCCCCTCAAAGATCAGACTTCTTCAGTTTCATTTTACTCTTGGACGTGGCCCATGACAGTGTCTACTGACTCCATCCCCTGTCTTTATCTCGCCGCGAAAGTGCTTGCAGCGACTGCTGGTGGGGCCCCCGCCTCTGCCCTCACACAGCCAGCTCCCTGAGCTGCTCAGGACTCCATGCCTTCTCCCTGATGCCAGTGATTTCCCGCAACTGCTGGAACCTGCTCTGCCCTGTACTTGTCTTGCAGCTGTACTTGTCGGTCTCTGTGTCTCTGCGCCTGTGGCGTAGGGGAGCTTATATCAGGCAGGGACTCACTTCCATCAGCACGTCTCACCTCCCCCCGCCCCAGCTGCTGCCTCGGCCCCGTCTACTCCCCGCCTTCCCAGCCCTAAGGCAGGCTTGTCCCTGGGAAATCTCTGCCTCGGTGTCGCCCCTGCTCACTGACCGTAGACTGATGGGCTGCTCCATTCACAGAGGACACCCAAGCGACATGATGCTAATTAACCCCTGGAGGTAATTAGGCTGTAATTGATTTTCCCAGTGAAACAGCAACAGGAGTTGGAGGCCCCAAGCAGTGGGGTCTCCTGTTGGCGTTTTTCAAGTAGAGGCTGTGGAGAAATGAAAGAGCCTCTCCAGGGAAGAGAGACAAATCCATGCTGTGTCTCAAGCCATGCAGGGGCCATCATTCAGGGCAGGACATGCAAGAGGGAGGATCCAGGCCTGGAATATTTCATCCACTATGATCAGGAATAGCTCCTTTCATTTTGCGGCTCCTACCCTCAACCTCCCTTCCTTGCCCTGTAAAAGTCATCTTCAGTTTTTTTTAACTTTTCATTTTTGAAATAATTTTAGACTTATAAAAGGGTACAAAAATAGTACAAAGAACTTTCATATACCCTTCACCCAGATTCTCCCAAATTAACATCTTATATAACCACAGTACAATTATCAAAATCAGGAAATTAACATTTATACAATAATGCCATGTAATATACATGCTTGATTCACATTGTGCCGATTATCCCATTGATTGTCCCCCTTTTCCTGATCGAGGATCCAACCCGGGGTCACATGTGATGTTCCATTAGCGTGTTTCTTTAGTGCTCTGGTCCTCAGTCTTTCTTTGTCTTTCATGACCTTGGTGCTATTGAAGAGTACAGGACAATTATTTTGTAGAATATCCCTCGGTTTGAAGATGGCTAATGTCTCCTCACAATTTAATTTCGGTGATATTCTCATGGCAAGGCGTACTAACAAAAATGTGGAGTACATGTCAAAAGTGCACAGGAGTCAACTTGATTTGGGCCCAGTAGCCAAATCTGGGACAATTCTGAGTAAGAAAGTAAGTGATACTAATTGACTATAAGCAATAGAATAAAATAAGAATCTATGCTCCTTCTTGATACAAATAAATAAATAGTTCATGGGGGAAGGAGGAAGCTCTTCTACTAGAATTCTAACTCAAAATGTTAAAGGACCTAGGGAAATAGAAAATTTGGCAAGATTTGCAGTAATAATTATTTCAGGAAGAATGGCCGATGGATACTAAAATTAGTAAATGAATGTATGATGAAAAATAGGGTATTTATATAGTCTCAAGCCATCTCCCCACAATCTAATACTAATCTCAACAAGAAAAACAAACTTTACAGAGGAGAAACCTGGTAGACACTGCTTTTACCAGGTGGTGGAAGTTAGTATGACCAGTAATGGGAAGAATGGACCTCATGTGCCTCTCTGACATTTGTTACCAAAAATGTATCATTTGTTAAAAGTAACTTTTAAGAAGAGTCAGCTCGTTTTCTTTACCTTGGCTTTCTTGGCTAATTCCTTCACATTGGCATAGATCTTTTTCTTAATAATCAGAATTCAGTGGGATCCGTGCCCTTGTATATGTACCTCCCCCTTGTCTCTGGCCCTTGCCTTCAAAATGTGTACCCAGTCCGTGCAAGCCCATCTGCAAGAGCCATTTACTATGAAGATCCTTCTTCAGGGATGAAAGGGGAAGGATTCTCTGGTGGCCGGTGCTGGCTGTTGGAGGCAGCAGAATTTCTAATGCTGGAAACAAGTGGGGTCCGGAACTGCCCAGGGGCGGGGAGATCAATGTGTGACCGCGAATGAGTTCTTCATTAGGGAAAGGAGTGGGCTCAAGCTTAGTTGAATGAACAGCTGTGTTCATCCTTAACCCCTTCTCACCCAACTGTTTCCATGGCAACCAAGCCCACCCCTAGAGACCCACCTCCTGTGGCAGCTTCATGGAGGACAAGTCTTACAGCCGATGTAAGAATTGCTCAGTCTGCATAAACTTCAGGTTCGAGCCCCCCTCAGGACCCAGCATCTGCTCCTTCTCAGCCAGCCCATGGTGTGATAATGATGCTGTCCCCCATGAGAGGCATCCCAGGCTGCTCCCATTCTAGCTGTCATCCGGTGTCTGTGCACGTGTCTCCTGTTCAACCCCGGGGACAAGAGACGTGCAGAGCTTTGGAGAGGCCATGAGATGCCTGGCCCGCCACGTTGCTGTGCTTCCAGAACTGCTAGGACCTCAAAGAGGAGGACGTTACAAGCCACCTGCTAGAAAGGAAGGCCCAGAAGCAGTATTTTCTGATGAGCTGAGAAGGGGCAGCATCGGCAGAAAGGGAAAAAGAGACCGAATATGTGTTTGGGGAGAAAAATATAGGAAGGGTCGAGGGGCTCTAGAGCTCACATGACAGAGGTCTCCACTCAAAGTGACTGTGTTGGTCAGCTGGGCTTAGACAACAGAAATGTATTATCTCACAGTGCTGGAGGCTGGAAGTCCCAGATCCAGGCGTCGGCAGGATCGGGCCCTTCTGAGGGCTGTGAGGAGAATCTGTTCCATGCCTCTCCCCTCACTTCTGGTGCTTTGGGAAAGCAGCAGTCTTGGCATTCCTTGGCTTGTAGACGCATTGCCTTCATCTCTGTGTGACATTCCTTCTTATGTCCGTCTCTGATTTGTTTGTTTGTTTGTTTAAATAAGGATCCCAGTCATATTGGATAAGCACCCACACTAATGACCTCATTTTAACTTGATTACCTCTGGAAAGGTACCTGTCTCCAAATAAGTCACATCCTGAGGTAATGGGAATTTGGGCTTTCACATATGAATTTGAGGAAGATAAAATTCAACCCATAACAGAGCATTGCAATAAATAAGTATTCATTTAATGAGCGACTGCTGCATGCCATGCACTGTGCTAGGCTTGGAAGCTATCACATGGAAAGGTTAGTTCTGTGAGGGGAGGCAGGGGGTGTAGTCCCTCACTGCAAAGCCCCAGCCTATCCCTGAACATGGGCCACCTGGAGGAGGCTGGAATCTGCTTGCCCTGCAGGCCACTCTGCTTCCTCCAAAGGACCTAGGACAGAAACTTCTCATCTACACACTTTGCTGTTGTCTCTGTTTAGAAGGAGAACTACAGCGGGGTTCCAGGTCTTGACACCTAATGAGGACACTTACCTCAGGCCAGGGACATGAACAGACATGATCCACATCCTAGTTCTGGGAGTATTAATGATAGCCAGACTCTACTGTGCACCAGGACCTTTGCATACC